ATTTTTTTTGTCTATTGACATATCTGGGAGACAACCTGATAAATAGTTCTCATTTCCTATTGTCCAATTTCCAATTTGAAAAAAAAAACCCATTGATGTAAGCCAATGTTTCTCAACCTTGGCGACTTTAAGTCCTGTGGACTTATGCTGGTTGTGGAATTCTGGGAGTTGAAGTCCACAAGTCTTAAAGTTGCCAAGTTTGGGAAACACTGGCTTAGATCAGTGTTTCTCAACCTTGTGACTTTTAAGTCCTGTGGACTTCAACTCCCAGAATTCCACAACCAGCATAAGTCCACAGGACTTAAAGTCGCCAAGGTTGAGAAACATTGGCTTACATCAATGGGTTTTTTTTTTCAAATTGGAAATTGGACAATAGGAAATGAGAACTATTTATCAGGTTGTCTCCCAGATATGTCAATAGACAAAAAAAATTGCAAATCGCAGTTCACAGAAAATGCAGCACAAGGACGCAATTTTGCTGCAACAGTGGGACTATGACCCGGGATGCCAGAACTCCTAACTGCATATTCTGCAGCGTTTGTCAACTAGGGCAAGGTTTAAGATGAGTGGACTTGAACTCCCAGAATTCCCCAGTAGGCCATACTGCGACAACTGGTGGGACAAAGTCACAGTGGATTATTTCTCATTGAGAATAGAGGTAGCCTTCGACTTACAACAGTTTGTTTAGTGGCGGTTCAAACTTACAATGGCACTGAACAAAGTGACTCACAATCATTTTGCATGCTTACACCAGTTGCAGCTTTTCCACGGGTCACATGATCAAGATGCAGACGCTTGGCAACTGGCATGTACTTACGACGGTTGCAGTGTCCCAGGGTCACATCATTTTCTTTTGCCACCTTCGGACAAGCGAAGTCCACGGGGATGTTTAACAACCGCATTGTATCTTAACAACCGCAGAGATTCACTTAACAGCTGTGGCAGGACAGGTCATAAAGTGGGGCAAAATCGACTTAACAACTGTCTCACTTAGCAACAGGGACTGCAGCCTCAATTGTGGTCGTAAGTTGAGGACTACCTTTAATGTGGAATTCTGTTGGGAGAACAACCACGAAGTAGCAATAGCCCTTAGACTTATATACCGCTTCACAAGTGCATTTACAGCCCTCTTTAAGTGGTTTACAGAGTCAGCCTCTTGCCCTCAACAATCTGGGTCCTCATTTTCTGACCTCGGAAGGATGGAAGGCTGAGTTGATGGCAATAGTAGTAGTACTTATATACCACTTCACAGTGCATTTACAGCCCTCTTTAAGTGGTTTACAGAGTCAGCCTCTTGCCCTCAACAATCTGGGTCCTCATTTTACCCACCTCGGAAGGATGGAAGGCTGAGTCGACCTTGGGTCCCATCAGGAAGGAAGGAAGGAAAGAAGGAAGGAAGGCAAGCAATAGCACTTGGATTTATATACCGCTTCACAGCGCTTTTACAGCCCTCTCTAAGTGGTTTACAGAGTCAGCCTCTTGTCCCCCAATAATCTGGGTCCTCATTTTATCCACCTCAGAAGGATGGAAGTCTGAGTCAACCTTGAGTTGGTCAGGATCGAACTCCTGGCAGTGAGCAGTTAGCCTGAAATGCTGCATTCTAACCACTGGGCACTGTGGAAGGAAGGGAGGGAAGGAAGGAAGGAAGGAAGGAAGGAAGGAAGGAAGGGCAATAGCCTTTACTTGTATACTGCTTCACAATGCTTTTACAGCCCTCTCTAAGCGGTTTACAGAGTCAGCCTCTTGCCCCCCACAATCCTGGTCCCCATTTTACCACCTCGGAAGGATGGAAAGCTGAGTCAACCTTGAGCCGGTGAGAATCGAACTGCTGTCAGCCTGCAATACTACATTCTAACCACCACGCCACCCTCTAAGAAGTAAACCCTGAAGTGAAAATTAGGATACCAACAGAAGAACAAGTCAAGCCGCCTTTACCTGGTAAGGCTCCCCAACTGGAGGACTGTCTTGGACTTTTGATAATATCCGCTTTGTACCTACAATGGCAACAACAACATGAATCTCTTAAACAGGAGAAGTACAGCAGAGACGAGAATTGTGCATTGACAACATACATTCACTGTGTTTATGGCCATTTGCAGCCTCTCGATGTCCTACGGCTGTCCTTTATAAGGGTTCCGCCCTAAACCAGTATTTACACCTGAATGTTGGCAAAATTGTGCCCCTAGAGAACCACCAGTTAACTTAACAACCATGGCGTTTGCTTCAACAAGATCAATTCACTTAACCACCATGGCAAAAAGAGGTTGTAATATCAGGTCACCCTGTTTTATGACTGTCGTGAATTTTGACCATGATGGACAGCCCCATTATGGTTGCAACTCAAGTTGCCTGCTAGAGAGACAAGAAATTCCAACACAAGAGGCAGCTGTAAGATCTGCCTGATGGGACATCCATAACTTAGCATGCAGCTGTTGGAAAGATCCTTGGGTTGTCAAACTCAAGGCCTGCGGGCCGGGTCCAGTCCACGAGCTGCTTAGATCTTGCCCGCGGGGCTGCTCTGGAAACAGCAAAGGACCGGCCCGCAGTTCCTCTGCCGGTGAAAATGGAGCTCGGGAGGGCCCGCATGTGGCATTCCCAAGCTCCGTTTTCACTGGTGGAGGGTTGCAGGAGGCCATCGTAGCTGAAAACGGAACTTGGGAGCCTGTTTTCACTGGCAGAGGGCTTGGGCCCCCCACAGACATCCCCCAACACAAGTGACGTCGAGCTGGCTATGCCCACACTGGCCACCCCCACCCCCAAGATCAAACACAACTCTGATGTGCGTGACCCGACAAAAGCGTGCACGACAAAAGCGTACCGACAAAACCGCATAGCTAAAACCGCAACATCATCAACGCGCCGACAACAGCGTGGCGACAGAATAGCACTTTACAACAGCACGGCAACAGAAAGCCGATTTAAGGTAAGGGTTAGGTTTAGGGTTAGTGTTACGTTTAGGGTTACGGTTACATTTAGGGTTAGGTTTAGTTTTAGTTTTAGAGCGCGCTTCTGTCGCCGCGCTGTTGTCGGCGCGATTCAGCGCTCATTCGTCGGAGCGCTTTAGAACTCACGGTTTTGTCACCGCGGTTTAGTCGGGCACCCTTTTGTCGGTGAACCTTGATGTGGCCCTCAATGAAATCGAGTTTGACACCCATTCTAGTCCAACTCACAACTCATACAGGAGACCTCCGCAGTATTTGAGACAAATGGCTGACCGATCTCTTCTTTAAAACTTCCAGTGTTGGGAGCACCCACAACTTCTGGAGGCAAGTTGTTCCACTGATTAATTAATTTAAATTTCTCCTTAGTTCTAGGTTGCTTCTCTCCTTGATTAGTTTCCAATCCGTTGCTTCTTGTCCTGCCCTCAGGTGCTTTGGAGAATAGGCTGAACTCCCTCCTCCTGTGTTGTAACATCTCAAATACTGGAATACTGCTATTGTGTCACCCTGGTCCTTCTTTTCATGAAAGGTTATCTGATTAAGCTTCAAGGCCCAGCTTCTACGTCAGTAGGACTGCCAAAAGAGACGGGGACAGCTCTGGAGTTGGGAGGTGCTTTCCTTCCATTGCTATCCTACAATTCTATCACCACCTTTTGAACTGGGTGGATAAAAATCAATGGCTTTTTAAAAATCAATTTAAAAAATTTAAATCAGATTTTATTTTTATCAAATGTATCAAAGGCTTTTGGAGAAAAAAAAATCTATCTAAAGAGAGTCTTCTATTTAAAATACATTCATCATTTAGTTTATTCAGCATGAAATGGAGCTTCGTTAGGTAGCATGAGGCTGCCTATTCTGCAATATTCTGCAATATTGGGACTGTCGGTGAATCAACAATGGGTCAGAGGAGCCACAGATGACAGCTCCTCTTTAAAAATGATGATTTCAATCAAGTGTCAACTCGCAAAGCCTCTCTGGCCTGCTCTCGAGTTGCCATAGGCAGGGCGGATAGGAAAATGAACTTGGCAGCTGCAGCGAGGGAGCCAGCCACTTCCACAGTTACCCACAGTGGCCGGAGGGGAGTGATCTCTACAATCCTCAAAATTCCTTTGTTGGAGAATGTGACTGATGACATACCTTGGGGGGTGGGGGGGGGACGGAAACAGGGTCAGAGCCGGGAGGTAAATTAAGTGGGTCAGAGTTGCAATGTGCCAACGTGGAGTCCTAATAAATAACTGGATTTCTTTTCAAGTTTGGCTCGAGACTCATGATTTAAATAGGGCATGTCGGAACCCTGACAGCAAGTTGATTTAAATCAAGCCCTTGTACTAGTGATTTAAATCATAATTTAAATTTAAATCAACTTGGTTTAAATCAAAGCCACACTGATTTTGAAGGCCAGGTTAATGTCCCAAAGAGAAGGTCAGCACGATCTGAGACGAGTGACATTTGGCTCCGGTTAACAAGGCGTTTCCTTTAATGTTTAATAGCATGGAGCTATTTTGCGCTGGCCTTGGTGCTCTCTGTGCTGGCTTGCAGGCATTTCATTCCCAGACTAGTTAACGTCTTCAGTGCTAGAAGGGAGAGGGGTTTGCTGTCTGTTCATCCAGGTAGTCCTCGACTTACAACAGTTCACTTAGTGACTGATCAGAGTTGCCCCCCCCCCCCCGGTGATCAGGTGCTCACAATTCCGATGCTTGGCAACTATTTATCCTATTTATAACCGTGGCTGGGTGGTCCCAAAGTCACATGATCCCCGCTTGCGACCTTCTGACAAGCTGACAAGGGGAGCAAGATTCACTTAACAACTGGGTGACTAACTGCAGTGATTCACTTTAACAACCCTGGCAAGAAAGCCCCCAAAACGGAGCAAAACTCGTGTCTTAACACGAGTCTCACTTAGCAACAGAAACCTGGGGCTCAATTGTGATCACAAGCCAAGGACTATGTATATTACCTTAATTTATTTGATTTCATCTATCCTTCTGTAGGGACAGTAAGTGTTTTATAAATCTTCTCTCTACTGAGACCAAAACCCAAGGGAGCTAACCTTGCTCCCAAACCCTCAAAAGTTGGAAAAAAACCTACATTAAAATTAAATCACAATTCAAAGCTGGCAAAGGAACAGAAGATTCACTTAACAGCTGAGTTACTAAAGAATCAACTCCAGGGATTCACTTAACAGTTGGGGGGTGGGGAGCGCGAGAAAAGTCCTAAAATGAGGCAAAGTTCACTTTACAAATGTCTCCATTAACAGCAGAAACTTTGGGCTTATTGTCGTAAGTCGAGGACTACACCTGTATACCATAGCTTGCCCCTTGGGTGTTTGTGGGATTGTTGTTTTCTCGTTGAGAGCTCCTTGGTTGGGTGGCGGCTTTTTGCTTAGTTGTTTGTGTATAAACCGACAGCAAACAACACTCCTTTGTAGCACTTGTGTTGTGAGATAATGAAACATCTGCAACAACAAAGAAATTCAGAGAGCATTAAGGACTTTAGGGTTCAACCCTGAGCTACAGATGCTCTTTTTATTGGAACCAGACCAGTGGTGGGATTCAGCCGGTTCGTACCTATCCGGGAGAACCGGTTGGTAACTTTCTAAGCAGTTGGGAGAACAGGTTGTTGGAAGAAATCTCCTTTTGTTTTTTTCCCACTTTACAGGGCTAATCCTGTAAGGAAGGCAGGAAGGAAGGAAACATTCTGGTGTTGTTTCTAGCCTCATCTTTATTGCCCTGCTTACAGAAACTGCCTCTCCGGTTGACCCTTATTACCATTGTAACAGCTAAGGCGAAGTGCCCATTGACCTGAGTGACATTGAGTTGGCTATGCCCACCCAGTCACATGACCGAGCCCCACCTACACAGATGGTCATTAGGGCAGAGAACCGGTATTAAATTATTTGAATCCCACCACTGAACCAGACACTCAAGCAGGAAACAAGAGCCCCACTAACGCTGACCATTACTGTATGGAAACAAAGAGCAAACCCCACTCCTTCTAGCCCTGATGATGTTACCTAGTTGGTTAATGAAACGTCTGCAAGGAAACAACCAAGCTCAGAGAGCACCAAGGACCTCACAGTCTTTCTCCTCCCCCAGTTCCCCTCTCCTCCTCCTCCTTTCCCCCCTCCCATTCTCTTCCCGTTCTCATCACTCCACAAACTCCATTCTCTTCTAGCACTGATGAAGTTCCCTAGTTGGGTAATGAAACGCCTGCAAGGGAACAACCACGCTCAGAGAGCACCAAGGACCTCACAGACTTTCTCCTCCCCCAGTTTCCCATCCTCCTCCTTCTTTCCCTCCTCCCATTCTCTTCCCGTTCTCATCACTCCACAAACTCCATTCTCTTCTAGCACTGATGAAGTTACCTAGTTGGGTAATGAAACGTCTGCCAGGCAACAACAAAACTCAGAGAGCACAATCCTCCATCTCCACCTCCTTCTCTCCTTCCTCCTCTTTGCAAATTCCTCTCCCTTCTAGCTCTGATGATGTTACCTAGTTGGGTAATGAAATGTCTGCAAGGAAGGACACCAAGGACTCCACAATTCAACGCTTGATCTACAGACATTCTCTTCTATTGGAATTGTTTTGTCTCTCCAGGATGAAAGCGGGGGGAAGTGCGCGGGCGGGATGAAGAAAAAACAGGATCCCGTTATCAATGCTCAGCAGCCACCGCACCTTTGGCTAGTGGTAGCTAAAATATCCCTTGTTTTTTTTCCCCAACAGCAGGCAGTTGCCAAGAGTTGCCAGTGCGAAACACACCTTTCTTTTTCCTCTCTGACCACGCAGGGGTCTTCAACCTCCGCAGACCAGGGAAGGGCACCCCACAGCCATTTTGCCAGGCAGTAACCCAAGGACTCCAGGTCGCTTCGACGGGACGGAGCTGTTAAGGGACAAACAAGAAGATTCCCCATTAAGAAATGCTGGAAGCAGCATTTGCCAGTTCTCCAAACTACTCAAAATTTCCACTACCGGCTCTCCAGAACCTGTCAGAACCTGCTGGATTTCACCCCTGCTTTAGGCTTTGCAAAAGGTTTTGGCGTGGAGAAGCCCAAAGGAGCAGAGGCTGCGCCCCAAAAAGCTTCTCTTCTCTCTTGGGTGACTGGAGCTCTATATATGTGTGTGTGTGTGTGCGCGCGCACTCAAATGGCCTGGTTTTTCTCACCCGTGGCACGACAAAACCGCGGTCCACTAAAGCGCGCCCGATTAAAGCGCGTACCTGACGTCAACAGCAGCGCGACAAATACGACCGCG